TTTTTTGACAATTCGCCATAAAAAATCGTCGGAAATTTTTTGGCAATCACAATGACACGTTTATCTGTTAGTAACATAAAAATCTAACTAACAATGACCGTAAATTACATGGTACACCCGGCTGTACCGTGCGCACGGTACAGCCGGACTTTTAGTTCGCGAATTGCAGGCTTCCATCGTAGCCTTCCGGCATCGCAGGCTTCCGTCGCAGGCTTCCATGGCAGATCATCTTGCTCGCCGCCTACTAGCACCTCTCCCTTTTTCGACAACCGCAACCCTTCAACAGCTCTCCCTCTTTCGTCCTTAGTTTCGTCTTTAACTTTCCATGCTTTGCTCCTGTCTTTTCCTTTTTCTATTTTTCTCGCACTGATTATTTTAGTTTGGTAGTTTTTGGGTCAGGGATAACCTAGGTTGTACGTAATTCTAAAGATATGAGCATACCTAAATAAAAGTTTGAGCATGGTGGTGATTTTAAATGAGCCTAAAAGAAATGAGTATACGCCTAAAAGAAATGAGCTCACACAAACTAATATTGAACACATTGAAAATGAGTTTCATGTAAAATTCAAATGAGTATAACACCCAAAATGAATGAGCATACACAAATGAGTTTTTTGAACGCTCATTTCGTAATTTATGTATACTCATTTGATATTAGTACAATACTCTTTTTAAAATGTCATATTCATTCATATTTCAAAATGAGTTTTAAGTTAAATTCAAATGAGTATTATACCCAAAATGAATGAACACACAAAAATGAGTTTTAATATTTTGATACTCATTTGTAAATTATGCATGCTCATTTGGTATTGTTTTATGCTCATTTCAAAATGATGCACATATCAAATATGACGCCCAAAATCAATGAGCATACACAAATAAAGTTTTGAATTTTTTGATACTCATTTTATAAATTATGTATGCTCATTTGTATGCTCATTTGGTACTGCTTTATGCTCATTTTAAAATGATGCACATATCAAACATATCATACTACATTAGATTCACATATTGAAATTAATTATAAACATAATTTAAGATTTTTAATTTTTATAAATGAAAAAATAATAAAAAGAAACCGAATTAAAAAATATGAAGGGAGATCACTGGTGCTCATTGTTAAATTAGTCTTTTAATACTCAGAAGAACAGGCTCGATGTTCATCAAAATTACATCAATGCTCATTTACGAGAAACCACGAACTTCATGAAAATTACAAAACGGTCACCGGTTGTACGGTGCCAGCCGTACAGCCGGCTGTATGGTATACGCTTCCAACAATGACAACTTCGTCCGATTGTTTAATTTAGTCATATATTAAATTAAGGGGGTAGAACTTCATACATGCATATGGCCCCTTAACCCCTTTCATCATTCTTTACTGTGTGTCATTGAAGGTTATCCGAGAACGAGGTCCGCATGGGGTAAAAAGAGGTGGTGGCTTCTGCGAAGAAAATCAAAAGGGGATTCCTGGTACGTTTATTGACCACGTAACATAATAGAATGGTTAAAATTCGATAGTATACCAGTATATTTATACCATAAAGAAAAAAAGTAAGTTTACATTTTTGTGTACATCCCTATTTGCGTGTATACACAATCCGTTCGTTTAGAAAAATTAAAGTAGGTAATTATTCGTGTATATATAAGGTGAATGTACATACAAAAAATATACACTCTTTGTGTACACCAAGAATTAGTCTACCACCAAAAAATGTCCAAACAAATTTGTATGCTTACATCAGTCCAATTTGATGAAACGAAACCACATTTTTTATGTTTTTGTCAATAAAAAATCGAGCACAAACCTGTTTTATGTGATAATTTTATTTAATTAAGCAGAAAAAAGTAAATATAATTCATCATTTATTACCGTTGCACGACCGTATTATATACTCATGCACATATTTTAATTTAATTTGGATTTTATGTACAGCTGCTCCAAACCCTGTTTTAGTTTATGTACCATCTGCAAGTGGATTTGTTGCCCCCCGCTACCTCCTCGTTAAATCAGCCTCCGGGGTGGATGGACTACTCATCACGATGATCTAATGTAATTTTTCCAAATTATACGATACATCGAATAAGTTATCATTTGTACTAAGATACAAATTGTGCCGTATTGGTTTAATGTTTTTTCCTTTACAAAGGAGTCTTCTATATATTAGGTTCATTGATCATGTGATCGATGATATCCCACGTTTTATTGTTGTATCTTATGTGTGTGATATCTAAATTGTCACGATCTTTGTGGTGTTTTTCTTACTTATATATAGAAGATCGAGTGCTACATACATACGTACTATTAAGACAGACACGAGTTCCATCCTAAAAGGTCAACCTGATAGGAGGAGTAGCTTATGTGTTAATACAACACTTTGTTCATCCAAATCATTCATGTTAAGACCCAGGATTCCATCCTAAAAGGTCAACCTAATAGGAGGAGTAGCTCAGATCTTAATATAGCATTCTATTACTTCTTAATTTACCGGTGTGGACTTTACACCCCTCCTCACGACCAAACACTTCGTCTGGATCGTGCCGTCATTCATTTTTTCGTCGTTCGTCATATTTTTATTTATAATCGTGTCGTCATTTTTCATAAGGGGCCCCACACCATGGATCGATTTGGCTCTGATACCATGTTAAGACACGGGGTTCCATCCTAAAAGGTCAACCTATTAGGAGGAGTAGCCCATGCCTTAATATAGCACTTTGTTTATCCAAACTTTTCCGCTATGGGACATTTAACACGTACATACGTAGAGTTCCGATATCCTACACCCGGGTGTACGTGTTGGGTGTGTTTCGAAAAACAAAGAAAATTAATTTACAAAAATTAATTAAATAAAATGACTAAACGAAAAACCGAAAATAGATAAGCAGAAAAAGCCAAAGCTCGTGCTAAACACGATTTTCTTAAAACGTATTTGTTGCCTCCCGGGGTGCTAGGAGCGCTGCAACGATCGTTTCCCAGGATACGAAGACTAACGAGCAACCGTTTGAGCACTCAAACGATTGTTCAGGCGAACTAGAACAAGTATGAACACGATGGGAAGTTTTCAGAATGTTGTGAGGTGTTTTTCGTGAGCCAAAGAAACGTGCAATTCGTGCATGAAGCTAATTGTGTCTTGTTGTACATAAATCATCTGCCAGCCTTATATAGGGGTGGATTTGCATGTGTTAATGGCCAGTTTTAATGGTGTGAACGTTGGACATCAATGCCCAGCATGAGATGGGCTAGCTGGATAAAAAAAATTGTCCAAAACGTTGGGCATTGAATGGGCTAGCTGGAGAAAAAATGGAACGCACCGGAAGAACAAAAGTTAACGTTATCTTTAGAAGATAGGATTTTCAGACGACATTCGTGTCCGCAAGTCGCCCGCGCACGCAAGTTGCGCTTTTTGTTCTCCGGTTTCGGGATTTGATTCGCCGGTGTGGGAAAAAACCACTAGAAACCTATCATTTTCCTAGTTTTCTCCATTTCAACGAGTGAACTTCGAGAATCAATTTCTCATTCAGCCGTTATTCGTTTTGAGCGTACCATATATCGAATTGTAGCCCTAAGCAAGGACAATCCGAAACCACGTTGACCTGTCCCAAATCGGAAGTGGAGCCCACTCAAAAAATTGCCCCAAAATGACCATTTAATGCAATTTTAACACATTTTTCCAACAGTATATGTACATCCACCTCAACTAATGAAGACAACTCATTAATTAATACAGCCCATAATCAAAAGATCCAGTGTTTGAGTTGGAAAACAAGCGAAAGAGTCATTTTCTTAACCATGACATTTATGTAATTTAAGTGAAAAATCACGGCTTCCGCTAAATGAGCATTAGTGACTCCGCTCGATCTAGGTGTCACCGTCAGAAACATTAAGGTCGTATTATATGTTAAGACTTCGTAAGAATCTAATCATACCTTGATCACATCATCTTATCTTAAAAAACTATAAGCACCAATGATGGTAAGGTTGTATTGGGAATAAAAAAAATGTTAGTGTAATAAAGAAGCAATAAAAGTTTGTTCAATATGCATAATAAGTTGTACATTTTGAATTGATTGACCTTTATAACCCACTTCTTCCGTTTCTTTCCGTTAAGTTGAAAACAAATCCAATCAATTCCGTTGCCTTTGTTGTGACACCGCACCCGAACGTCCTTGAAAATTCAATTTAAATTCAAATATATGTATCGAATTTCCGACTCCAAACAACTGTAAAACGATTAATGTTCTACGTAGTGCATGGTTGAATATCGTACTGTTCAAACTCGTACATTAGTGTCGGGTTTTGCAAATACTTATTCGGGACTTATTAATAAATAAAAGAGCCCAACATTACCTAAATAGTGATACATAATCCTTCAAGACAATTTGAGGAAGGTCGGGTGGCCCAAACATTATTTTGGGCCAACCTGCTAAAAATAACAAGTGTTCGAGAATGGCGTTCTAAACCCACTCGGGAGTGACCCACACGGCTAGTAGCTCAATAATACGTATGACAAATGTCAAATAAGTGATTGAATGATTAAGGAAGAATACAAATGCCTATAACCCCACCTTGGGCCTTATTGAGCTAAATAATGGGAGTAGGATTTTCCTTCTATAATATTCATCAAGTAAATTATTGGGATGAGCCTACACATATTGGAGATCAATAATGTGATTTAAGAAGTTGACTTGTTCTAAATAAATTAGGATGAGTACAAAAAGACATCTTTTGACAAAGATAAAACAATAGGACCCATCTTCCCCATTTTTGGATGTATTGGTAGATAATTTGGATCCCCAAAATGATCGGGATCAATTGGGAACCATTCCACATGGACTTAGTACCTGCAAAACAAGTGAAAAGAGGTGAGAAGACCATATGGGGCGGACTCTTGGCTCACATGCACATAAACTCCAAGAGAAAACAAAAGGGGGAGGTCCACCCCATATTTGATTGCAAACCAAATATCTCCCATGTTCTTTTGTGAGCCACATACTCTTTTAGCATGTTTAGGGGCTCCTAATACACTCCCCATACACCCCATTCGAACCCCCAAAGAGATAAGAGAGCAAGGGAATCCACACAACCCAAGAGAGGAGGAAGGAGGAGAGCAGTCCGCAGGTTCGTTCTTCAGGGCGTAGCTCTGATTGTTTGAGCCATAACTTGAGATTTACTCATCCAAATAAGGCGTGCGAGATACCAACAGAAAGCTCTCAAGACGAGGAATCCGTGAAGGTCTGGTTTGCATCAATCGGAGTAGTGGAAGGCTTCCAAATCGACCGAGCAAAACACGACCTCGCAGAATACGTCTTTGTATTCAAAGTAAGTTTGAATCCAAAACCTTCCTCTCTATTGTCTAAATCATATAAATGATTGAAGAACTATTATACACTGATTGAAGTGTATAAAATGTTATTATTATGTGACTTTAATTGTTGGAAAGGTTAGATACTAACCTAGACAAAACCTTGAAAGGTTAGGGAACGAATTCGTCGGGAAACACCCGTTCTAGGGACTGTTTTTGCATTTTCGGTTAGGAGTTGAACTAGCACTTTGAGGGGGCTGTTTAACACTCAATTCCAAGCAAGGAATCAGTTCTCAAACCTTCTTGGCCGAGGCTTTGGTCGTTGGAGCGAGAAGGAAGGTTTTAAAGCACATTTGAGGTGAGGACCGACATCTAGTTGCTTACAACTTGTAGGTTATGCATAAGATTACCTAAATGCTTAAATCATGTTTTTTGTGAATAAATATGCTTGAACATGATATGAATGATAAGTAATGGACTTGATCATGAATTGAAACCATATTGATGAATATGGGGTTATGTGAGAAAGAAGTATGCTAAAATGGTAAATTGACTTTTCCAACTCATGTATGAATGTTATGTGTATGTAAATGTATAATTGCATGATGATGCTTAGCACATGGGAGGCTGCCACGTATCTATTGATATGGAGGGGCTACCATAAATGATAAATGAGTTGTAGGAACAATCTTAATGGTATTGTGATGCTAGTTAAGGATTGCCCTAAATGTGTTAGAATCAAACTCAAGGTTTGAGTTTGTTTGTGATGAACTTGAATGAGATTCAAGTGTCAATTGTGAAATCATGAAGTAGGAGATCTATGGTGTGATATTATGAAGTAGGAGATCTATGGTGTGATATTATGAAGTAGGAGATCTATGGTGTGATTTTATGAAGTAGGAGATCTATGGTGTGATTTTATGAAGTAGGAGATCTATGGTGTGATTTTATGAAGTAGGAGATCTATGGTGTGATTACATGAAGTAGGAGATCTATGATGCGAGTGCATGATGATGTACTCGAGCCGAACTCTAGAAATGAGAAGTTATGTTAGGGTTGGACCCTATGTATGTCGTGATTATTAGTCACGGGGTTTGGGAAATGTTTTGTAACAAACATGGGCCTTGAGCCGGCTACTTGACTTTATATAAAGTAAGTATATATTTTGAAAGGGGTAATTTGAGATTACGGCCTATACTATATTATCACCCTATTTGAGGGTCTTGTGTGTTAAATACTTGTTGTATATCTATTAGATGCCTGCCACACCAGCACTTTATAGCCCTATAGAGTGCTGACCCCTTCGGGGGCGTCCCACCACCATTTTTCAGGTTGAGGCTAGAGCTTGCTTCCTGTGCTCGTTGCTCGAGAGATCATATAGGAGGGAAGACTTGGTTCGTGCTTCCTCCATTCTGTTTTTAAACATTAATAAACATGCTCATGAATATTTTACTATAGAGCCTGCGTGCTCATGGTTGCCACGTGTGGCATTTGTTTTCAAACTATGTTTTCCGCTACGTATTCAATTGCTTATTATGTTGTTTATGGATGGCTTACGTGTGAATGATATTCGGGACGCCTTGTATAATATGAATGTGTTGGACTGCGGTTGACCATTTGTATTGTACGGCGGGTTGTTGACGTGTCCGGGGAGGTCCGGGGCGTGACAATTAAGTTGGTATCAGAGCCCTTAGTCCATAAACTTCATAATGAAGTCTCAAAATTCCTTTTTTCAAAATGATTTTGAAAACCATGAGCATAGAAAATGTTTTGTACTTAAGAACTTTTGGTGTTGAGTTGCAAGGTCTCTAATTGTTAAGATGGCGCCCTTAACGATTGGTATGGCGGCAACTTGGCCCAAGAGATGTCTTAGGTACCTATCTGTCAGTTGACATTTGAAACGAGTCTAATGACTCATTCCAATTATTTCTTTCAGCGATGGAGGGTGATGGTGGTACTATGAATAGGGAGAACTCGGAAGGGTTTGCACCGGGTGGAACCGGGCATGCCAACCGAGAAAAGCCCGTAGGAATAAAGGTTCACGAAATTCTAGAAGCTCAAATCGTGAGTGGCGGTCATTTTAGGACCAATGAAGAATCACCTTGTCATAGAAAAATTGAAACACTCAAGGCTTCGGGTGACGAGGGAGATGATTTGAGTGATGAGAACCTTGATGGTGCACCCATTGAACAAATGGGCATGGTCATAGATTGGCTTCAACGTGAACGTGTGAGGCTTATACAAAACGCCAAGCTAGGCAAGCTGAGGGCATACCGTTAGTAAGGAAAAGGAGGTGGGGAGACAACGATTCCCAAAGACATTCAAGAAGGACAAACGTTGAGGGTGACAAAACCTTCAGGGCGCAGACACTATCACTTGAGTGGAGTCGGGGCTCGGGTGGCCAGAACTCGAGGTCAAAGGGTCCGAGGGTACCTAGGTGCAACAATTGCAAGAAACACCACTCGGGTAAGTGTCACGACCCTCCTAGGTGCTATCATTGCACAGAGGTCGGGCACACGAGAGTGAGCTGCCCACAAATTGTGCAAAACCAAACTTCGGGGTCAAGTGGTGGAACTACAAGAAATGAAAACCAAACCGAGGTTTCTCAAGGGAGCAGGGGACATGGGGGAGCAAGCACGAGCAACGCGCCATCCGTGAACCAAGGAAGGACCCAAGCTAGGGTCTATGCGATGACAGAGGCGGATGCTCAAGCTAACCCGGATTCCGTTGCAGGTATTGCCTCTCGTATACTAGTGTTTTATCCTTAATTAGTCCATAAATTAAGGTTACTAATCGTTGGGATCATTGCACGAAATTTTGGGATCAAACGGAGCGAAATCGGGCGAAAGACGGCTGATTTCCGCCAACGCACACCAGGCTGGACCATACGCACGGCCGTGCGTTGTCCGTGCGTTGGTCCGTGCGTTGGTGGCAGTAGCAACCCGGGAAGAAATTGCTATACGCACGGCCGTGCGTTGTCCGTGCGTTGGTCCGTGCGTTGGTGGCAGTAGCAACCGGGAAGAAATTGCTATACGCACGGACGTGCGTTGTCCGTGCGTTGGTCCGTGCGTTAGTGGCAGTAGCTCCGTTTTGAGGTTATAAGACACGCACGCCGTGCGTGCCTCCTAGGCACGCCGTGCGTACCTCCTGGACAGCCCAAAGTCGACTTTTTCGCGCCGTATTGCAACGTTAAGACCCGTTCTTGATCCCAAACATGTGTGTGAACATAATAAACCTCTCTAAATGAGTAGGGAGGGTAGGAAAGATGTCTTACATGGTTCATGAATGTAGGGACACTAAAGATTAATGGGAAGGATGCGCGAATCCTTATCGATACCGGGGCGCAACGTTCATTTGTGAATGAAGCGTTCGCCAAGAGTTTGGAAGTGCAATCCGCACCATTGATGCAAACCTTAGTGGTATCAACACCACTAGGGGATGACGTGGAAAGAACTCGTTACTATCCATCTTGTGGGGTGGAAGTTAATGGTCAAACCTTGACGTGTGACTTCGTACCGCTGAGCATGATTGAATTCGATGCAATCCTAGGGATGGATTGGCTAGAAAGGAACCATGCTAGGGTAGATTGCTACACGAAGGTTCTTAAACTCGAAGGCAATGATGGGGAGACCCTACGCTTCGAGGGCGATCGAGGGAGATCAAATAGTTGTATCATATCCGCCGTGAGAGCGAGAAGTATGATGAGAAAGGGATGCCACGCATATCGAGCATACGTGGTTGACAAAACCAAAGAGGAAACGAACATCGATGATGTTAGGGTGGTTTGTAAGTATCCGGATGTCTTCCCTAAAGACCTACCGGGGCTTCCACCTGATAGGGAGATTGAATTTGTGATCGAGGTCGAGCCTGGTACCAAACCAATCTCCATACTGCCATACCGTATGGCACCCGCTGAACTTAACGAGTTGAAAACCCAATTGCAAGAGCTTTTGGATAATGGTTTCATTAGACCAAGCCACTCCCCGTGGGGAGCACCAGTTCTTTTTGTGAAAAAGAAAGATGGGACACTTCGAATGTGTATTGACTATCGTCAACTGAACAAGGTCACAATCAAGAATAGGTATCCCTTGCCTAGGATTGATGACTTGTTTGATCAACTACAAGGGGCGACTGTGTTTTCAAAGATTGACTTGAGGTCGGGTTACCATCAACTGAAGATTAAGGAAGATGACATACCAAAAAGTGCTTTTCGCACAAGGTATGGGCACTTTGAATTCCTTGTTATGTCGTTTGGGTTAACAAACGCCCCAGCGGCATCCATGGACTTGATGAACCGAGTATTTTATAAATACTTGGACCGATTTGTGATTGTGTTCATATATGACATCTTAATTTACTCAAGGAGTGAAGAAGAACATGAGCGGCACTTGGTCCTGGATCTTGAAACACTAAGAGAGAAGCAATTTTGCGCCAAGTTCTCTAAGTGCGAGTTTTGGCTTAAAGAGATTGGCTTTCTTGGGCATGTAGTTTCTGAGTCAGGCATTGCCGTGGATAACAAGAAGATTGGGGCTATCACATAATGGGAAAGACCTAAGAACGTGAAGGAGATTCGAAGTTTCCTCGGGCTAGCGGGTTACTACAGATAATTCGTGGAGAAGTTCTCAGTTTTGGCATCGCCATTGACGAAGCTCACTCGAAAGGGAGCTAAGTTTATATGGGATGACAAATGTGAGAAAGGATTCATCGAACTGAAGAATAGATTGACCGAGGCACCGGTACTTGCATTACCCAAACAGGGTGTGGGGTACGATGTCTATAGTGACGCGAGCATCCAAGGGTTTGGGTGTGTGTTGATGCAGGAGGGAAGGGTAACTGCCTATGCTTCACGACAGTTGAAGAAGCATGAGGTAAAATTATCCTACCCATGATCTGGAGCTGGGAGCAGTAGTATTTGCACTGAAGAATTGGAGACATTATCTCTACGGAGAGACATGTCACATATATACTGATCATAAGAGCTTGAAGTACGTGTTTACTCAGAAATAGTTAAACATGAGACAGAGACGGTGGATGGAGTTGATAAAGGACTACCATCTAGTTATTGAGTACCATCCAGGTAAGGTGATAAGTCCATTTTTGTACTTATTTTTCTTATCAAATTTAAGCGATTTTTGAATGAAAATAGAAAGAAAAGACACATTTTATATATTTTGGTTCAAGTTTCATGAAATCAGGTGAAAATCACATCCATAATATGTTTAGCGGGATTTCGGGTCAATTGAGCACAAAATGAGTCAATTTGAGTGACAAATGCACTTATACCGGAAGAAGCAAGCATTGTATCAAGGTGATTCAGAAGACAAAAATGAAGAGCAGGAAAAGCCGCATCTGCCAGAC